CCTGCCGCATTGGATGAGGATAGCGTCGACCTCTTCCTTGGTGCAGCCCGATGTTCTCACTGCTGCTTTCGGTTCTTCGGTGGGTTTCGGGAGGGAGACAAAGACGCTGGTTGTAGCATTGAGCTCGACTGGATTAGTGGGCTTACAACTGGGCTTTTTCTCCTCTTGAGAAGTAGCGGGGGATTTCTTCTTGGGGGTTTGGGTGACAACGAAGACTGGTTTCTTTTCCATTTGCGGAGGGGGTTTTGCTTCTTTCGGTGTTGTCTCCTCTTTGGCTGCTGCACTGGCGTTGGCGTTGGCGTTGGCATCGTTCTTCTTCTTGCTCTTCTTCTCTTTTGGAATTGGGATCTTGGGCTCAGCTGAAGCTGCAGCTGGATCTGGAGGAGCACAAGGCTCCTCCTCCCTCTTCTTGCTGAAACAAACGCCCATTTTTTTTTTTTCCGTTTCAATTCGGAGGGAGAAAGAGAAGGGTTAGTTTGAATCGAAGGGTGAAGGGATTTCAGGCGATAATAGCTTCTTATTTGAATTGTTTTTATTTATTTATTTAGTGGTTACGGAGAGAGGAGAGAGAGAGAAAGGTGAAGATTCGCGGGACCCGAGGTGGAGGGAAGGGGACAAGGACTGGAACATAAAAGACAGAGGGAGAGTAGGAATGAGGTCGGAATTTCAAATTTTAGGATCACAATTGGGCCTCAGAATAGAGCCGTTGGTAGTTTTTTGGGGCCCATCCCAAGGATTTACCCGTATAATTCCATTAAAAATTTTCAAATTTTGGGCGTTTGAATGGTAACGGCTAGATCGTTGTTTTTTTTGGGGGGTCGGGGGTTAAAATAGTGGCTGACAGCAGAAGGAATCGACCGTTATAGGGCATCACGTGCGAGCGATGAGCCCTACGTTTTTGTTATCCGTTCTCTCCACTTTGACTGAGTTCTGAAGCTGAGGTAAAGAGCGTGACACTGTAGCAGTTCTCTGTTAAGAGATCAGGTTAAGTCCACCAAACCCCCTGGACTTTGGGGGATACCCCAGTAATCCCTTTGAACTTTTTACCTTTGGCGATGTCTTATACGACTGATCTGAACTTTTAAACTTTCTCACCAAACTCTACTAAATGTAATTTGCAAATAAATAGAATTCCTTGAGAGGAAAAAAAAAACCTAAATTCTAGAGGAGGGTTCATTGCGTGTAAATGACAAAAGATGAAAGTTTGAATTTTTTTTTTCTCTCCAGAACGCTTTTCTTCTCTACAAATTCCATATAAAGGTCCGGTGATAATAATAATAATAAAGTTCAGCCTAGCTATGTGAAATTAATCAGGTGCATCTTATCTATTTTAAAATAGAGTAAGGGACACATAATCCCCTACACCTTTACCTTCATCTCTCAACTAATTTAGATAACTTGCACTTTGATCTCATAAAGTTGTCTCGTCTCCAAATTTTGCTGGTCTAAAGTTTATTTTTGATACCTTGATGCTCCAAACTTTCGTTTAAATTTCAACAAAGTGTCAAAACAAAACTTTGAAGGACATCAAAGTTTAAAACGACAGACAACTTTATGACAACAAAATCCAAACTATCTATCGATTTATTAGCACTTACCTTGAGAAAAGGGTGTTATTTGTAATTTCTCTTTCCAAAAATGAATATATGGAGGTGCTTAGTGCTATTAAATGAGGTGAGGGGTGTTAATTGTCCCTGAAATTATAAATGAGGTGTTCATGAGCAATTTTCCCTTTAAAATATTATTTTCTATGCTATTTATCGATTTATGTTTTTTTTTATGTTTTTTTTAGAAAGATTGATTTACTTTCTAAATCATGTTAAATTCATCATTAGCTTACCTTTCTTGGACAGTATCAAAGAATCTAATTAGGGGCTGTTTGGTTCGTTTCTTAGATATAGGAAAATGCATTTCCATGTACAAAAACACAAGTTTTGAGTTTTCCAAACTTTT